GGAAGGACACTTGTTTGTCGTCTTTTCACACCTTAACTACTCAATCGATCATTATGACGTTTTGTACACATATTATCGGGGGTACAGAAAACTACATACTGTACCTTTTAACCAGAAAACAATTTGTTCCCAAGGGATAGAAAAAATAGTTGGATGTGACCGATTTCATGCTTTAACTAACTACTCAATCGATCACAATGAAATTTTGTAGACACCGGTACATTTTGTTTCCTTTATCTTGAAATGTATAGTGTTTCCGAGGGATAAAAAAAATTAGTTTTAAGTGGTCGACTTCACGTCTTAAGTACTAAATCGAAAATCATAAAATTTTGTAGACACATTATCAGTTGTACAGAGAAGGACATAAGGTACCTTTTGTGGAGAAGAAAATACTGGAGGACAAAAAAAATAGTTTTATATGGTTGATTTCACGCCTTAACTTCTTAATTGATCATCATGAAATTTTGTAGATACATTATAAAAAGATATAGAGTAGTACTATTATCCAGAAAATATACGCTGTGGTCGAGGGATAGACTAGTTTTATGTAGTCGTTGATGATCTTTGACAAGTATTTAGGACATCGCGAGCGAAACCGAGAATAAAAGCTAGTATGTATATGTAGGGATAGATATATAGGGGCAAAAGATTAGTATGCTTAGATTTGCAGATGATATAGCAGCATTAGCATCTAGCAAGGAGGACCTAGAGATAGCTTTAAATAAAATGGAAGCGGTACTGACAGATCAGTACTGTATGAAAATAAATAAAAGTAAAACTAAAATACTGGTATGCAAGGGAAGAAAAAGTAGGAAAAGAGCGAATATAAAGATAGGAGACGAAAAATTAGAAGAAGGGATATAAAGCAGAGGATAACGCAGGGTCGTGTCGCCTTTAACAAAAAGAAGTCACTTCTATGCTCGCGAATGGTCAATTTAGAAATTCGAAAAAGGTTGTTAAAGGTGTATGCTTGGAGCGCGGCGCTGTAGGGGTGCGAAACATGGAGAGTGGGCGTGGCGGAAAAGAAAAGGTTAGAAGCTTTCGAAATGTGGTATTATAGGCGAATGATGAGGATAACGTGGGTAGAAAAGATTAGAAATGAAGAGGTATTAGAAAGAATAGGCGAACAGAGGACTCTATGCAAGTCAATAAAAAATAGGCGAGATAGGTTGGTAGGACACGTTCTCAGGCATGAAGGTCTAGTCAGAGACATATTAGAGGCAGAAACAGGAGTTAGGAGGGGTAGAGGTAGACCTAGATTAGATTACTGTTCGCAAATAGTTAAGGATGTAGTTTGTTCTAGTTTTAGGGAAATGAGAAATTTAGCTCAGGACAGGAAAGTGTGGAGGTACGTGTCCAACCAGTCTTAGGACTGACAACTTTATGATGATGATGTATATAAATATTAAATAAGTGATTAAATCATCAAAATTGGTTTAGTAGGTTTAAAGAGAGTAATATGTTCAAATACTGAACAAAAACAGTTGAAGGTGAACATGCAGATGTAAAAACAAAAACATAAACTAAATAAATAGATAATTAGAACTATGTGAAAACACGTAGAAACTCGCTAAAACAGTATGATGAAACATAGGCATGATGGTTGTAATGAAAATTCCAATATTGTCGATGCTTTTAAGTTGCGTCTGCTTGTGCAGCGTCAGTTTTAATCGCGAAGCATTTACGATATAGATGAGCTTATCTGAGATTTCGGACGGAATAGGTTCCGGTAATGACCGCGATTCAGCATCGAAACTTTACCATAAACTTGAGCTCAATGTTAAGCTCGTTTTCATCCCAAAAACTATGAACTTCTGAATGCTTTTAAAGCCGTTAGTTAAAATTACGGCTTCGAATAGCTGGACCTCGTTCTTGTCCTGTTCAGCAATAACTACAAAGGAATCTACTCGCTAATCTATGCAAGTGTAAAGGTTTTTTTCTTTTACTTTAGGGATGATACGTATTTCTTTAACTACAAAAGAAGTATTTGGCGTAAAAATGGGATGAATGCTTATTTAGATATCAAGTATTCGCAAGTTCACACACAAGTCCATTCTTTTACATAATTTAAAAGCAATTGAAAAGAATAATAATAGTAACTATATGATATGCATCATACATAATGTATATTTAAAAGTTTATCTACATAATAACATCACTGAATGAGGGAGGTTTAAGTCTCTAATGTTTTTACTTTTATTATTATAAAAACTATTTTTCCCCCTGCCCTCGGCCATTCTTATTGCTTCAATATGACGTAGTGTCGGCCATCATTCTTTTCTAATTGTTGCAGTTGTCAGCCATCATTTTTTTCTAATTGTTGCAGTTGTCGGCCATTATTCTTTTTCAATTGTTGTATTGTTACTGATGTCGGCCATTATGATTTTTTAATAGATATTTAATCAATGATTAAAATTTAAAGGAATTATTTGTAAATCACGTAAACAAACTCATTACCACTAGAATTAGGTATGTCATATTAGCAATGTATGAGACTCGTTGCAAACTGTACATGAATTGTAATTCACCATAGAGGTAGCTGTCTCTTAAGATGTACATACCTACATGCATTTTGGTGTTGGGATATTAATAATTTGAATCAATCTCACCCTAAGTTACCATAAAACCTGTTCACATTAGACATGTGTTTCGCACATATCTAATGTGGACATTATCAACGTTGGACTGGTTCTAATATGTTAAAATTTGACAATTTAAACCACTTGGATGTTCGGAAGTGCTAATGATAATGATTGCTAATAACCATATGAATATTGGAAAGACGGAGATGCTTTCTTTTAGTTTACTTATTCTTTATCCACACTCTCCATTTTCAACTTTCAGTATTAAATGAGAAAGTTGTTGATATTATTGGAATATAAGAATTATAGAAGAAGTATAGTTTCTGAGGAACTGAGCAAAATGAAAATTCGGATTTGTGTTTGATTACTCAATCTTCATTTTAATTAAACGTACATATTTCAGTTTAAGTAATTTTAATTATTTTGAATAGTTCGAATTAATGGAATATTCCAATGACTAGAGTATCATTCCCCGACTAGTATTTTAGGGAGGTGTAACTTGGTTTACTATTGGACATGCCAAATTGCCTTGTGTGGAACGTCATGTTTGCCTCATAACACCCGTATGGAAAACTAATTAATTCATTTCAAATTTCACTGATATACATTGTTTTCTTGTCAGGTCCACTTATGTAGGTGTCCTTTGTTAGATTAAGGATTTGATTAACTTAGAAAAAAACAAAGAATTTCGACTAAACAGCGGCATTGTGGATACCGTTTTAAGAATAAGCTAATTCTAGAAGTCTAATGCTCAGAGAAAATAGCAGCACAAATCACCACTGATCAACAAATTACCAACTTTTCTAACCCCATGAAATAAGTTAAACTGATTTTGTGAGAGTATTAATAGAAAGTGGTACTAATATCTCCAAAGTCTTGGTTAGCTCGACGTTTTCGTGAATATCAATTAAAAGATTTTATCATCATCATCATAGGATCGTCAGTCCTAAGACTGGTTGGACACACACCTCCACTATTTTTATCCTGAGTTAATCTCCGCATTTAACTAGAATAACCCACATCCTTAACTATTTGCGATCAGTAATCTAATCTAGGTCTACCTCTACCCCTCCCAACTCCCGTTTCTGCCTCTAATATGTCTCTGACTAGACCTTTATGTCTAAGAAGGTGTCCTACTTTTATTTAGATTAATAAATTTTAATAACTTTGAAAATGTACAGTTAGCGTGCCTTTTCTTTCATAATTTCAGATCCACAGCTTCTCTTATCAACTCCAACAATAATTTAGACCATAATAGAGTTTCTTATTCCTCCGTATTTCATATATTTTGAGGTAGAATGTCTAAATGTGAGGCCAAAATGCGTATTTTGAGGGACATTTTACAGCCAATGGTTTCATTCATACCTTTTATAAAATTTATAATTTTTAGCTTTTAATTTTCTAGAAAACTAGTGAAGACTTGTACCATGGATTTCCAAGCCTTACTCTTTTCTATATCCAATTCACTATAAATTCCGAATTTAATTAATTAATTTTTTTTTGTACATTCCTCAGGGTAATTTAACTCATTAAGCACGTACAAATCGGTCTTTCTGGAAATTCCTTAGTGTTTTATGGGGACAAACCTCTGAATTACATCGTACATACTTATTTTTCTATGCGTAGTACTCTTTATGTCATTCGTTATGTATTAAGTAGCTAATATTGCATAGTAAATAAAAAAAAGGCTCATTCTTTCTTATTCTACTGATTCTATTATGATCGTTAAATCAATTTTTAAAATATTATCTAAATTTAATGGTTTATAACAGTTGTCATTTATATTTCTTAGAAACGGAACAAGATAAATTGATATCAAAACTTTCTGGGTTGGATTTTAATGACGAATGTTGTCACGTTCAGTTTTTTTTTCGCCAATTTATAAACCGCTTTAATCTATTCGCAAATCCGACAATTTCTCATGGAGTAATTTGCGTAATAACTTCTTTTAAATCCACCTGAATTTCGTATGATGAATATTGCTCGAAGGGTGATATTATTGAAGTTTAATGTGAGGTTTTTAAGCGTCGTTTCATTATTTTCTTTGCGTTGATTACATGCAAACCTGACATCGAACGTTTCCGACTTCCTGGATATTCTAATCACTCACACAATTTTTTATCGCGCCCGCCCAACCGACCGTTTTCGCGTCTAACGTATTCGTCGGCTCGTTTGTGAAAATGTGAAACACGTTAAAAAATAATTGCTTCATTAATTTCCAGCCTTGTTGGCAAAAGAAGTCAGCATTCAAGAGCTTGCAGCTGGCGTTCGTTCAATCGTTTAACTTGGCGCCTCCACCATTAATTTCTTGGAGTGAGTGTTGCTGCAAATATTAGAACCGCACACTTACGTTGCTTTGATCATGTTTATTAAGTTTTATAATAATGAGTTTCGTTTCATTTTTCTTTTTTTTTTCAGGATGACGATAGAAAATACGAAAAACGAATCCGAGGCGAGTCTGCGAATCTCGCCGGTCGAAGTAGATGACGAAGCCACCTATAAATGCGAAATCACGTACCTAGATGTGAGAGAAAACTGCGATGTTGTGCAAGTCGTAAAGCTACGGACACTGGGTGAGTTGCAATTATAAAATTTTGTGGCTAAGTTTTAAGCGACAGTTGCTGGGTCTGCACTTGTGATGCTGGAACAATTATCGAATAATGTCGATCAATGTCGTGACTGACATTAAACTTGGTTTATTTACACAGTTGATAACAGGAATGGGTACAAACATTTATAACTGAAAGCAACAAGATCACAAAAACACCTTATAAACAATCTCTTACTGTGGAATCCTATAAAAAATTAGCACTGTTGTACGACTTTTGATACTAATTTTGTTGACAAATCAACACCATCCGATACTTACAGCAGTTGACTAATTATATCACACATCTTGTCATCGGCCTGCTTTACTTATCCGTATAGTACAATTATGATTTCAGTAAATACAGACCTTCATCACTGATATTGTATATGCGGTACATAGTAGTACTGGTAGATAGCAATTCAATAAAAATTGAGTAACCAACTATGTTACCAATGATACCAAATTCATATAGATTTTGCGTGGTTTTTGCACCACTGATATACATACACGTTTTAATTCATATTGTAATGTATGATATGATCTTTATCTTTTACTCACATAGTTTTTCTAAGGCCTTCTTCACCCTAAAATGTTCACTTCCAATACCAGCATGCAGCTCTTTTATCACTTCTTTTGTCTTTTTCTTGGGCAACACAACCTGGAGTTGCTTCTTGGTCCCGTCCGGACTCTTCCAGATTCTTTTAAGGACTCCATTATCTAGTTCTAGGGAATTCCATTGAGCCCAATTCGTCGTAGTGCTCAGAGGACTTACTTCCGTCCAGGTTGGCTCATTCCATTTTATGATGGGTTCTAGATCGTCATCGGTACGCTGTTCCTCAATCTCTACGGTGGTGTGTAGGCATGGAACTAGTTCTAACCCTTCTTTTCGTTCCACAGAAGAACAATATTTGCAATTCCGTGGTCATGGTCGTCTTGATATGGCGTCGGCATTTCTATGGTGCTTTCCTGGCCGATGTTCAATTTTGAAATTGTATTCCTGTAGACGCTGTAACCATCTGACCACTTGTCCTTCAGGATTTCGGAACCGCAGCAATCATTTAAGATAAGAGTGGTCAGTTCTCAGCAGGAATTCGCGCCCATATAGATATTTGTGAATTCTCGTCGGGTCACACAATAATTCTTCTCGGGTTATGACAGCGTCTTGCTAAAATACCCGATTACTCTTTCTTTGTCGTCTTGAACTTGGAAAAGGACCCCACCAATACCCGCATCGGTATCGACTACGAATGGTCGAAACGAAATATGTAGCCGTCGTCAACAAAATTCAACCCAGCCTGTCGGATTCTAACATGTCCTTTTGATACTTTTGTTTGGCTGCGACAATGCTTCATTTGCAGTTTTATGCCAAGACACGTGCAGGGCTTGCTGTATTTCGACAACTCGAACTCCGTCGATAAACATTAAGGTATACAGCTGGTCTGCAAAATCTCAAGGGACACTAGGATAAGCCAACCGCACAAGTCTTTCGACGTCCGCTTCGGATTGTTGGAGGCTT